GCACAACTAGTTTACAGGAACAGACGAAACTGAAGTGTGCGTGCGTGTGCGTGCGTGTGCATGCGTGCGTGCGTGTGTGTACACTCCCTGAACAGTACTCGTCAAGCACTTTGTGATTGCTGCTTCATGTTTCATGACCTACTTTCTCGTGTTACTTTAGCTAATAGCAAATAGCTGCTGCTTGTATAGTCATGATTCAGAACCAGTAGGTGTTTGGGGTCAGCGCAGCAACGTTTGCTCCTCTTCCTCTGTAGCTGACAGTCTGCTTGTAATCAGACGTATTTAAAGCCCTTTAGTTCTCTGTGGGTGGCACTTAAAAGGTTCAGTTAAGCATCAGCAACCTTACTGTGCTGATGGGAGCTCACTTCAGTTCTCTTTGGCTTCAGTAGCTTTGCAATCAGAATTGGGATCTAAATGCACTGTGATGTGAAGCACATTTTGAATCTCTGCATGCTCCTCTTGTATCTTTTATCTGTTCATGTATTCATTTCTATTTGTGTTATTTCAGTTGTTACATTAAATGTGGTGTCGTATGGAGACGTGTAAGGCAGGACAGGCAGGGAAAAGAGTAATAATAAAAGGATACAAATGGAAATGCACACCGTATCGCCAACAGCTGCCCCTGTAGGAAAAAACAAACGTACAACTCCCAGAGCACATAAATGGGAAAATACGCAGATACTTGAATCAACAGTTGTACTGGGAGTAAGTGAGCGAGTGTTATAATAACTGCGTCTTTGTCACAAATGTGCTTCATAATGAGGATGGGAAGCCCCAGTAATGTCCCCCAGGAGCCAGAGGCAAATGATGAACCAGGACAACCGTGCCATTCGTAGCCCCCACAGTACCGAAGACCTGAGGCAGCACATCTCTGCGACATCTGCAGGCCCATCCTAGCAGGAGAGGGACGGAGGCCCCAGATGGGGTGTCCACAGCCAAAGGGTGAGAGTCCCAGAGGACCAGAGGCAACGGCCAGTCGCTAGAGACCAGCCACCTTGGTACTTGGTACAGGTTTCCAGGGACCTGAAAATTCCCCGGGACACCACCGAGTCTGGGGCACCCACTACCCCCACCACACAGAGTAGACTGGGGCTCATCTGCACACTGTGTCACAATACCAATCAGTTACAACACACACACACACACACACACACACACACACACACACACACACACACACACACACACACACACACTAAAGGGACGAGACAAACTGGTCTGGGTCTGAAACAAGCTGCACCCAACAACGGTTGTTCCCTCACCTGGACGCCCCAACCCACCCAATTGGCCTAACGGCACCCACGAGGCGCAGAGTGGACATTCTAATGTGGGTCGGCCCAAACTGCACGGCGAGTTGGCCAGGGAGGTGCAAACAGCCCCCACAGAAGGAGGGACACAGCCAGAGACCAGGCGACCCCGGGCGTGGGATCCCAGGCCCAGCACTCGCCCCTGCCCAGCTGGGGGCAAGTCCCCCACACCACAAGCACCCCAGTGCCCACATCCCAAGACCGTTAGGCAGCACCCACCCCACTTCTCAACCGTCACCAACTGAGGCAGATGCATAGACACTCCAAAACTGCAACCGCAGCTCTCCAGCCCCCAGGAGGCCACCAGGCACCCGTAGTCCCAGAGACCATCATCACCCACCTGCAAGTCAAACAGGGAAATGAGACTACACCCAACCACCCCCATTAAGTAGTGGAATTGATCAGTGGGGGCCGGAGGGAGACAAATTCATCCGTCCGTGGTTTGGTGAAGAGGCAGACATTCCACCCGTTTCTATTTTGATTGGTGCATAAGGTGTTTTTTTGGTTTCCAGTTCATGAGGATACTTTTCTTTGTGATTCGTAAGAAAAGAAGGAGTATAAATGATGTATTTGCTTCCATATCTAGTTCACCTCTATCACTGAAGTTGCACAGTTTGGGTGAGGTTGGTATGCTGTAACGAGACATGTGGTCATAGGTCTTACCCACATGTGCTCACGACCATATAGCATGCATATAATTCTCAGCAGAGTTGTTTTTGCAATAAGTGCACGTGTTCGACTGAGTGAGGTCCATTTGGAACGAACTTTGCCCTCTCAGTTTATGGTTGGGAGCGAAATTGATTTGTCAATTTTAAACAATACAAACTTTTTGAGGTACAGATATTTAAAACGTTTGACACCCAAGTAGGTATTTCTAGATTCAGGTCTCTGGGGTTGAATCTTTCCTGTATGATGATTTCAGTTTCTCATATTCAAGAAATGTGCATTTGCTGATTCTATGTGTTATAGGTTCTTCAAATGAAACAAATTTTCCATCTTGTAGAACATGTTCTGGATTTTTCCCCTTCTCGTGCCACAGTGAAAAACTGCAAAGCATTGTCTTTTTCTGATAAATATCGGGATTGTTCCAAATCGGTGTTAGTTTCATGGGCTAAGTGGAGACTTCCCACCAGACTGTGAGAGAAGTGTTTATGTTGAGGGTTTTAAAGCACTTATGATGCTCAATGCTGGAGCTGATGGTGGCAGACTGGAGATTTTCACTTTTCTACAGAAAGCTTGCTCTGGGTCCAGCATAGGGCTGTCTAAGAAGCTTGGTTTAATCCATTTTAAAACAGATCTATTGGATAAGAAATGGTGAGAAAGATTTGTCAGTTCTAGATCACACTCATGTTTTGGTTTTTGTAGAGTTTAGACTTTTTATTAGGATCATTGAAAATGAGTAGTTTATTTTCAGCAGACTCATCATTTTAGTGGCAACTCTTCCCATGAGTGATATAGGTAAAGTTCTTCAGTGTGTGAGATCACCCTCTAGCATTTTTAATAATGGAATATGATTCAACTGGATCAGGTTTAAGAGCTCGGCTGAAAAATGTATACCTGGATATGTAATGTTACCTGGATATATTGGAGCGGTGTCTGACAGTTCAGAGGCAGAGCTGCTGATTTACTCTGGTCGATGGAGTGTCTGATATGGATTAAAACTTATCTATAAATGTGATCGTCTTTAGCAAGGTTTGTAAGTAAAGTAAGTAAAATGTTATTTATTTAGGACCTTTCACGACGAAATCACAAAGTGCTTCACAGAAGCTAAAACATAAAAACAAAAAGCAGCCAAAAGCAAGTTTAAAAAGATGAGTTTTTAGCTGTTTTTTAAAAGAGATGACTGAGTCCACAGATCTCAGGCTCGATGGAAGATGGGAGTTCCAGAGTCTGGGGGCCACAGTTACAGAAGCTCTGTCTCCTTTTGTTTTCAACCTCGTGTAGTGGACATGACCTCAGGGACCTACTGGGGATGTAAGGATGTAAAAGATCACTGACGTATGTTGGTGCTTGTCCATGCAGAGCCCTGAATGCCAAAATCATAATCAAAAAGTGGACTCTGAATTTTATGGGGAGCCAGTGCAGCTGGATCAGCAGGGGTGTGGCATGGGAGTACCTGGAAGACTTGGTCAATAGCCTTGCGGCAGCATTCTGAGCACCCTGCAGACGGTCCAAGAAGGCATTACTTAGACAGGTGAACAAAGAATTACAATAGTCCAAACAAGATGAAATAAATGCATGTATGATCATTGTCAGTTCAGAGCGTGACACAGTAGGACTCAGCAAAGTTTCTTAAATGGTAAAAACAGGAGCGGACCAGAGATATAACGTGAGCGTCCAGCGTCAGAGCTGGGTCAAAAGTAACACCAAGACTCCTAATAGAAGATTTGGCAAATGAAGCAAGAGGGCCTAAATTTTCCACTACCAAGGGCACAAATTTATCGGGAGCATAAACAAGGACTTCAGTTTTCTCTTAAAGGAGATATATAACTGAATATCATCTGCATAGCAGTGATAAGAAATGTCCTTAAACGTGCTCAATAAGTGCTGAAGAGGGAGTAAATACAACAAAAACAATAAGGGTCCCAACACAGAACCTTGTGGCACACCATAGGCAAGAGAAGTAGAGGAAGACCTGAACTTAGAGGTAGCCACAGAGAAGAATCGCTCACACAAACAGTCCAAAGCAGACCCTGATATACCCACCCAGTGTCTCAGCCTATCTAACAAAATGTGATGGAAAGTAACACGTCATAAGCGTATAGGCTCACCTTCTGGTCTGTCTTCAGTTTGAACTTTGATAGCTACGTTTGGTCAGATTGCTGCTGCTGCTGCTAATGGTGAATCCGTTTAGTTCCAGTAGAGTTATATTGTTAAGAAGTTCTGCAGTGTCAGCATCGGAGGGATTCATCTGTGATGAGTGTAAAGCTGCATAAAGGTCTTTAAAATGTTTTTTTTCCTGCTGTACTGAGCGTGTCAATTTCTGGATTAAATCTAGGTTGAAGTCTCCTCCTATTATGAGTCGGTGTCAGTGATCAGAAAGGGAAGGAAAGAAGAAAGGAGGGGTCATCAACATTTGGACCATATATACTAGCCAAACACAAACTTCATACATTAAGTATTATAAGTCTGCCCTCTGGATCTGTAAGTGTTGCTTATAGTGAAGTTAGTTTTTCTCCTAACAAAGGGCAGCCAAAGAACGCCCTTCAAACAAGCTGAGTTGTGCTTACAGATTGATTAAAGGAGTTCAGCTTGTAGTGAAGGAAAAAAGGGTCACACCAAATATTGACTGTGAAGCTTGGTAGAATTGCACAAATACTGCATTTTCCTTATATGTTTAAAAGTATGCAGAGGTTTCAATAAATCCATTTTGTGCATTTTTCCTGACACAATGTAAAACAGCATCTAAAAAAATGAAGGGTGTAAAGACTCTTGCACCACAGACTTGCTGGTGTGCTCCTGCGTACTATTAGAAACATTAAATAAGAACTAAGACACACACATAACCCGTTCACATGCAGCTAAAAACAGCCACAACACGCTGGGAAGAGCAGCCCGCCTGAGCTGCGCCTGCCTGGCACCAGGACGGCCTTGGTTCCAGGCTGATGATTACTCCTGCTTGATAAACAATCCTTTGTCATGGTCAAGTTCCCCTGTGTGACCCCCTACTTCCCCCTGTTTCTCCCACTTTAGGCACGGGGACTTTTGGACGGGTCTTCCTGGTCAAGGACAAAAAGAGCAGGGCCTTCTTTGCCCTGAAGCAGATGAAGATCCCTGACGTGATCCGACTGAAGCAGGAGCAGCACGTCCACAACGAGAAGGAGGTGCTGAGCGAGGTCAACCACTCCTTTCTCATCAGACTGTGAGTGCTCTTCGCAGTCTCATCTGCAAACACATGGGGGCTCGTAGTCCAGTTGTAAATATGATCAACCTATCTCTAATGATCGGCTATGTACCACAGGCCTTCAAGCTGGCTGTAGTTAAACCTTTACTCAAAAAGCATCTCTAGACCCAGCAGTCTTAGCTAATTACAGGCTAATCTCCTTCCTTTATATCAAACATCCTTGAAAGAGTAGTTCATACACTGAGGTCAATTATGGAGTTCCACAGGGTTCAGTGCAAGGCCCAGGTCGGTTTACACTTACATGCTTCATTACAGGCAGTGTAGATGATGAGGGACTAGCAGAGAGGCAATGTTTCTGTCACATTCTCTTTGCTGGCTTCCTGTTAAATCCAGAGTTGAATTGAAAGTCCTTCACAAACAGGGTTATGGTTTGCTTTGAGGTGATTGTTGTTGTGATCTCAACCTATATAAATAAAATTGACTTGAACATTTCTCAGTTTCGATGTGTTTTGGTGTGAATAATCATCCAAAGCATCATAAGAAAACACGCTTACTCTTTAGCGTGTAACATGGGAGCGTTGTGTTTTCTGTGTTACATAAAGGATAGAAATGACAAATTGTGAAAGCAAGAGTAGAGCTGAAACGTATGTGAGGGTCAGAGAGGCCAGCAGCCTCGTCCATCTTCATCAGTGACGGTGCTTTTTTGTCCTCGTTCATCTGAAGTGCCCTCCAGCTGAAACGCTTCCTGCACGCCTGCCCAAACACCACTGGGACATAAAAGAGCCGCAGAATGATGCAGCTTCTCATCTGATGTGATTCTCTCCACTTATTTAGACGTTAACAGTTTTGCCCTGCAGTGAACTTGTAGGACTGAACAAGACAGTGATGATAAAAGCTAAATGTAAGCCTGAGCTAACAGCACGTTTGACCCTGCTGTCTGTTACGTGGCAGGTTCTGGACTCACCACGATGAACGTTTTCTCTATATGCTCATGGACTACGTGCCGGGCGGCGAGCTCTTCAGCTACTTACGGAGCCGTGGGCGCTTCAGCAACGCCACGGGCCTTTTCTATACCTCTGAGATCGTTTGTGCCATTGAGTACCTCCACTCCAAAGAAATTGTGTATCGAGACCTGAAGCCTGAGAACATCTTGCTGGACAGCGAAGGACACATCCGTCTGACCGACTTTGGCTTTGCCAAGAAGCTCACGGACAGGTAAAAACCAGTGTTTGTGTGCTCACTGGATATTTGTTTTGAGGTAAGAACTAAATGCAGAAGAAAGATTTAAGGTAACGAATGCGTATTGTTGAAACAAGTAACACCCATAAGACACTAGCTGATGCTGGGGACGATACAGAGCTGTCTTTGCAATAAAATAGCTTCTTGTGGATTTCGTTCAACAAGCCTTTTGTAGCTTTCAGTTGCACGAGTCCATCATGAGCCCCTCAGCCTCAGTCACGATGCCTCATCAAGTAATGAAAGCTGATCGTGGATGTTGGAGACGAGTAACTGAGGTTTAACCTGAAAGGGCAGCAATGGTAGCAATGATTTGGTGTATAACTCTGTGCAGCACACAGACTCCATCTTCCGATTGCTCTTGAAGGTGTCCCACTGCAGAAAATTAGCTTCTGTGATTGGTGGAGAAAGTAGATGATTGCTTGTCAGAGCTGAAAGGAATTTGGAATAGTCTCTGAAATGATCTGTAAAGCCAGATGACAGATAACAAATGATATCATGTATTTATAGAAACAAAGCCAGGAGCAACAAAGCAGCTGATTCTAACCAGACGTGCTCATAAACTGAGTGGAAGGCTTCGTCTGATCCACGGCAGACGTGTCCTTCCAACACATTTGCCTGTTTATAGTAAAACATTTAGTACATACAGCTGCAAGATGTATTGAACATTATGTTCATAATACGTTATTGTCCAATAAGCCTGGGCTTGTTGCTTTTTCTAATGCAATCATGTTTCTTTCACACCAGAACTTCATGTCAGCCGTCAGAGGCTCGTGAAGTATGGTCAGGTGGTGTGAATCCACCAACTGGAGAACAGCACCACAGGTCGCATTAAAACTGACGAGATCTATGACCTCAAGATCGGAGGTCAAGTTTTCTGAAAATCTTACAAACGCAATAACTTGAAAACGAGGCGACATGAGATTTTGAGAGCATAGAGGTGTGCGCCCGCAGGCTGACAGTACTTTTAATAAACCATGAAAGAAGGAACTTTCTATTCCACATTAATGTGTCCAAGTTTTAATGCACAGACTTTATTTGCTGTGTGTTTTACTGAATCTGATTAAAAGATATGTTACCAAAGAAAAAAGCCCAGATTAGCATCATGTGATGCACACATGGGTGGCTGTCCCTTCCCTGCGTCTCACTGTGCCCCACAGGCTACTGCTAAACCTAGAGGTCAGACCTGAGCTGACCTTTGGTTGAAACCTGCAAATATCAGGTTCAGTTTGTGAGACTGAACCTTTATATTATAATCTGCCTGCCTCTCTGCCTCAGCTCCTTCCTACTGTACATAAAATAGAAAATGTAACCACTTCTTTATAAAGCGACGCCTCTGTAATTCATACAAGATAATGATGTGAGGAACAAATGTCCTCTTGATTGCAAATGCTGTCGGTGCTGTGCCCACACGGCTCACTGCGCTGCGTCTATACCCGGTTATGTCCTGGTTTGTGAGGATTCAGGTTGCACTTCATTACGTTTACAGTAGTGAAGTTTGTTCTCCTCATAACAGAGTATTTTGTGGGAACAGATCTGAATGTTTACTGTTGTTTGCGTGTTTATGTAACTACTGTGGGATCCATGGATGGGATGCGTGCACAGTAAATGACCTCGGACAGCATCTGCTGTCATTTGGTGACATTATTTTTTAAATGATCCAATAAAATAGAACATGTTGGATGTTGTTGATTGAAGCGTGGGATTTTGGGCTGAATGTGATTGGATAAATTTGGCATTTTGTATTTTTGCTGCATAAATTCTGTTTTTCTGCAGCTTTGCCTGAGAAAGAGCACAAACGACCATCGGTCAGGAGCCCTGGACACAAACAGCCGCTGCACTCGTGTGAGGCAGAAGCCGCCCTTTGTCTTTTTATTTAGGACTGTTTTAACTGTGAGGTTCTGCTGGATTGTGCACACGGTGCACGTCCACTGTCATGGCTTTAGCTGAAATTTAAAAGATGCACGAAAGCGTTCACAGGGGAGAGTTGACAGAGGCAGCTTGATGGCTTTTCACTGACTGAGGACGTTCACAACAGGTAAAAGCACTTTGGCTTGGACTCATGCTGCTCACTGGATGGTTGTATTGTTTTGAGTTTGATTGGCCAGTTAGCTCATAGAGAGCTTCATGTTCCTGTGAGATGGAGGAAATGTTTCACTGGAGGAGAAACTGGCGTCCTTTAGCCTGAATTAGATATACAGTAGTCGAGATCTCCCGGTCACCTCAGCAGAATGTCGAAGATGCAGAGTGAAGGCAGAGATGGCTTTATGTCTGCACTGCGGTCTCAGTTTCTCTCTGCATTTCGCCCAGAGCTGTACATGTAAAGATAATGGTGTAAGATTACATTTCCCCCAGACTGCGAGAGCAGAACAGATGGACAGCAGATACCTTTCTGATGTGCAAGTGACCCTCTTATATAAATGGAGGGCAGCAGAATTGCCTGGAATAGGAAGACAACTGCCTGATTGCCACGAGCTTTGTTGTGCTCTCCACGTTCAGGTTGTGATAAAGCACAGAGCTGCCAGTGTCTCCACAGTGCCCCCTGCTGGCAGATACACATCAGCACATTCAAACGTGACGACACGAAACTGTGAAGAGCAAGAACACATCCCTCGATATCATCACATATCACACTTATGTCCATCCTGCACCCCACGTATGATTCTACCGACAGCAGCAGCCTCCTCCTCCGCCGGGGCGACGTGATTTCCATACAAATTACTGTTGTCATGGTAACTGGTTGAAAGAGGTCATTACCTAGGTGATATTGGTGACAAATGATGAAAGACTGGCACTGGACCAAGTGCTCTTCAACAAAGGACAAGTGGCTTTGACAGAGGCGTGTGCGTGCGTGTGTGTGTGTGTGCGCGCGTGTGTGTGTGTGTGTGTGGTGTGTGTGGTGTGTGTGGTGTGTGTGCGTGTGTGCGTGCGCGCGTGCGCGTGTGTGTGTGGTGTGTGTGTGGTGCGTGCGTGTGCGCGTGCGGGTGTGTGGTGTGTGTGGGTGTGTGGTGTGTGTGTGTGGTGCGTGTGTGTGTGTGTGGTGTGTGTGTGCGTGCGTGTGTGCGCGTGTGTGTGCGCGTGCGTGTGTACGTGCGTGTGCGTGCGCGTGTGTGCGTGCGCGTGTGTGTGTGTGGTGTGTGTGGTGTGTGTGCGTGCGCGTGTGGTGTGTGTGGTGTGTGTGTGGTGTGTGTGTGGTGCGTGCGTGTGCGCGTGCGGGTGTGTGGTGTGTGTGTGTGTGGTGTGCGTGTGTGCGTGCGTGTGTGTGCGTGCGTGTGTGTGCGCGTGTGTGTGTGCGTGTGTACGTGCGTGCGTGCGTGTGTGTGTGTGCGTGCGTGCGTGTGGTGTGTGCGCGCGTGTGCGTGTCTGCGCGCGTGTGTGTGTGGTGTGCGTGTGTGTGTGTGTGCGTGTGTGTGTGCGCGCGTGTGTGTGTGCGTGGCACATGCAGAGAGTGTCAATCAGCTAGACAGTAGCATGCACAGCCACATGTAAGTAATCTGCTCTAGACTGCATTTCATCACAGCACCTGGACAAACAGCTGTAGTGATGATGATGTGTTTCAGTCTTATCTTCTGATGTTGTCCTCTAATGTTCTGTGTTGGAGGATGAAACCTGCCCAGTGTTGCTGCAGTGCGCTCACACACTGGCGTGGCTGCTTTGTCAGTAATAGACTAAGTAAGACTTTGGTTGCTGTGGCAGAAAGATGATGCAGAGGTGATGCACATTTAAAACACGCCTAACTGAAATGTGCAGGAGCGATGCTGTGACTAATAGTGTCGGCTGGTTTTTCTTTGTTCCATTAGTCTGCTGGTGTGTCACCAGTTGCAGCAAAGCAGCTGATGTACTTTATTAGTTTAGTTACAGATATGTGTTCCTGTTCTGCGCTTCATGGTTCACAGCACAGCTTCAGATCCAGGTGAGAGCAGAGTGTGGGTGTGTGTCCAGCACCAGCTGTATCCAGTCTGAATACAGATCAGTTTAAGCCTTTTATTGGTCTGTAAATTCTGAGGACGGAGAGGGAGAGACAATTAAACATGCTAGAGTGGACATGTGGGCGGGGTCAACAGCAGCAGTTATAAATGCCTCTGCCCATATTCACTGATGATTTTCTCCCAGTGTCCAGGTGGGTTCTCTCCAGGTTACTGCGACTTCCTGCCAGTCTAAACACATGCAGGTGGAGGGTTAAACTGTGTGTAGGTGTGAGTGTGTCTGTGTTAGTCTGGCAACCTGTCCAGGGTGTGTCCCACCTCTCGGTCGGTACATGCATTTAATGGAAGCTTTGTGTGTTTTCCATTCGCACACTGTGGACGTTGTAAAGCATTTATGGACATGAATAGTAGCATTTGACAGGATTGCTGTCTCTCTAAACATGGCTGCCACTATATTAACGTGACAGTCTATAAATCTGTTCTCCACTCTCGGATTTGGAACATGTGATCATGTGAGTCTGCACAATAACAGGAGAGTTTGTATGCATCAAAAGCAGCTCTCACCAGCGTGCTTGTTTAGCTGTGTGGAGTCAGGATGATCTTCCAAGGCTCCTCTAAGTATTGGATCCTTTGATGGACTTCTTCTTTGTGTTGTGCATGTTTATTCTTTCACCTCACAAATTGTCATTTCACTTATTTTGAAAAGTTCTGGTCGACACGATTGAGCCTTTGTCTCAGACTGTGTCCACCCTAGAACGGGCGTAAGTTGTTCTGAAGGTAACATTATCGTGTGTACCCAACTGAAAGGAGGTTTACAAATGTGAATAGAGTTGACTAAAGCAGCATATTGCATTAAGTGTAAGGCAGTGTACACAGACAGCATCTCTAAAGCTGCTCCTGCTTCCCGTTATTGTTCGCACCTCCTTCATTTGTTGCTCAGTATTTGATTTCACTGCCGGCCTACGGCTGTGCGATATGACCAAAACCTCATGTCCCGATATCAGACATCTATCGTCCGATAACGATATAAATCACAACAATGTAACATTTTTGTAAGTTCTGTGAATCTCGAGCAGCTCGACTTGCGTGAAGTGTTTCCAGCTGGGCGTCGTGTAGCTGGAGTCGAGTGTTTTAACCGATGCTGAAACGATACGTTTTTAGACATAAGTTGTAATGGCGCCGTTTTCTTTGTGAGTATTTCTTACACGGCGTGCTGCGGGGAAAAGCCTGTTCTAACGTTTGAGTCTGAGCTTTATTTTTTAGCACCTGGCGTCTTTTTTACTTCTCACCAGTAAATAATCTGCTCTGTCACGTGATTCAGTTTATTTTGAAAAGTCTCAACAGGATCTTGAGCTTTATTGTGAAAGGTTTATGTGGAACATAAACAAGCGGACACGCGATGCTGTTACCGTCGTTGTTGCTAACGACAACGCATAAAAACAGGCGCTTGTCCGTCCGTAGTGTGGTTATATTAAATATTAGAGAAAGAGAACTTTAAGAAATGAACACAGCCGCTACAGTGACATCAGAACATGAACAAATATTGCCGTAAACTGTTTATTTTGCGACACCACGAAACAAACGATAGCGTAAAATGAAACGACGGACGTTTTTATATCGTCATCAGATATATATGGTTATAGCAAACAGCCCTATGCCCGCCCACATTACACTCAGGCAGACATCGATCCATTACTCGTCCCACGTCCACACTGAGGCCCCACATCCTCATGGTAATACTGAAGATGACACAGCTGGGCCAGAATGCAAGTGCAGATCACGTTAGCAGTGTGGAACGTAAAGGTTACAAAAACAAATGATAACGGGGATCACAGAACTGTTTGTGTTTGCATCTTGTCTCTGGACCAACTGCAGAAGCATCATGGTGATGCAAATACAAATGAGAAGGATGTTAGAATCACCTGAAACCCTTCATCCTAAAAAGGCTCACGTTGGTCTTCTGTGGCCAGTTTAGCCACTGGATGAATTAATAACATTCATTTATGATCTGAACATGAAGCCATTTCACACCAAAGCTGTTCTTACTCTGATAGTTATATGGAAAGAATCAATAACTTTGACAGAAAGAAAATTACAATGAAACCTGTTATTCATAATAACTCAGCTGTCACACAAGTAGGTTTGGATTGAAGAAGCAGGAGATGGAATAAATATTTGATGTCCTCTCTGGCAATCAGGACCTGGACTCTGTGTGGGACTCCTGAGTATCTGGCCCCTGAAGTCATCCAAAGCAAAGGTCACGGCCGGGCAGTGGACTGGTGGGCTCTGGGCATCCTCATCTTTGAAATGCTGGCTGGGTAAGTGGTGCAGTCTATGGTAAACATCTCTACACCTGCTGTAAACACTAGAGGGCACTCTCCTCCATTAGACCGACTGGGGTAAATCTGCACTCCTTCATTTTGTAAAAGGCAGTCAGAGTCGAACCTGTTTGACCTTTAACCTCCTAGGACCTGCGTCCACATATGTGGGCATCACATTTTGGGTTATTTAGACCAAAATACTCAATTTTGCTCTACAAGGGCCTGATGTCCACTGACGAGGACGTAATGCTGCTACTGCTCTATCAACATTTTAAACGAATATCTTCATATGTGGCTCTCATTTTTCTTAGAAACAAAAATAAGGTAGAAAAAAATCTGGTAATTCTTTGTTTTTACATTCATCAGGACCCAATCAGCCCAAATATCAAAGAGAGATTGAAAATGTATCCTGTGGAAGATTTTGGGTCTTAGGAGGTTAAAGTCAGGCCCAAGGCCACGGCTGATATGTGGAGGGAGACGTGCTGAAATCTACAGTCTGACAGCTCAGAGAAATATCTGCAGATACACACAATAAGGCAGGTACACACTGACAACCACCGAGGTCTCCCTCACATGCCTGAAATAAGCTTTTGGGTAGACATAAAGCAGCACGGAGAGAGCAGACCACTGCAGTGGTTTGTGTTCATGGAGCAGAAGAATTATTCAGTTAATCGTACTTTGACTTATTAGTCCTTTGTTTTTACAGGTAAAAATCTCATTTCCAGGAGAGACCTGCATTACTGCTGTTATTGTCTCATGCTGGGAAATCTTGTCATTATTAGAGGCTGTAGAGCTGGGACAAATTAATCTGTGAATGGGCCTCATTGTAGCACAGGAAGAACAACAGCACTGATCCTTATAGAAAGCACCTCTGTTTGTTCTCATGTGCTCACAAACAATAAGGATTTCCATTCGTCTGTGGCATTCCAGCAGTGCTGAAGGCTGTGATTGGCTTGTTTCAGAGACATTAATCCAGCAATGATTTCACTGCACAGTGCATGTTGCATTATGTACAGCACTGTGGGTGGAAGCACTACAGCATGCCAGAGACCCTTTGAAAGTAATGGCAGGAGTACTTTGTCGTTACCACAAAATGAGTGAAGACAGAAAAACTGGTCTTCAAGCCAACTGGCGAGTAGCTGGTTTAGCATCGGTGAGAACTTCCCACAGTGTTTCTGTGGATTTAGGCTTCCTCAGAGTCGTCTGTTTGTGCATCCCACACTGCATCACTTTCTGTTCTGCAACTAAGCAAAACGGAGGAAAGAGGATCTTAACTGAAATGTCCCTCAGTGACGGGGGGCGGGGCTTAACACAAATGTGTAAAAACTGCCTGAGGATGGAAGAAAGAGTTAAACTGTGGACTCTGTGTCTCAGTGCAAAATCTTCAGACCGTCTGTCTGGAGGGACACACGAAGCAGTGACTCGGACACATTCCAGTCTGAAAGGAAAAAAGCTTTCACAGAGTTTCATATTGACCCTTGATGTGCCACTGACACCTGTCCAGACTACATAACGCTCTTACATCAATCACGCTGAACCCCGTGGAGCGCCCTCCTCCACTTGCACTGAAATGCCACCTTTCTGTGAGCCTGGCCTGTCCTCCTCCTCCATCTAGGTTCTGTGTTTTGCTGGGAAAAGCTCCATGGCTTTGAATTGGTGGAAGGAATGTGACCTTTTTCCAAGTATGAGTGTGAGCAGGCGTTGAAGTGTTGGTGTATGTGGGAAAAGCTGCAGGCTGTGCTGCTCCCAGCAGAGGGACACTTCCACAGTCGGACAAAGACTCTTCATTCAGCATTGCCGTGAAGCTGTTTGTCACACGTCTCCACCAAAGAATGCAGCAGCTGTTTTTGAGAACTCCGCATCAGTAGATCATCCTGCTTTGGGCCAAAGCTTGTGTAGGAAAAACATCAAGTCAAGGATGAGGGGGAAAGTCTCCCTTATAATTTTACTTCTGGGCCCATATTCCTGTCCTTAATGGAAACCAGTACCCTTTTAGTATTTGCAGTTGCAGTACATGTGGCCGTGTATATGAAACCTTATTTCTTCTACAACTTACTTTTCTGCAGTACCTGATTTTCCACCTCAGCTCAGCAGAGCATCAGCCTGGTGGTTACATGGAGCTGCTGGAGGGGACACTTGCTGGTCTGGACTCCAGTTCCTCCACACTGCAGCCGTCAATACAATCTGATTTGAAAATGCTGGGACTACGATGCATGATCATTTAGTGATTCTTCAGGCTTTCTAGTAATTGAATGAACACCTCAGAGGTTCCCCTGAGGCTGTTTCATGAAGCTGACATAAAATCTCATTCGAGGGCATTTTACAAGGACAGGATCTTACTTTAGAAAAGCTCATGATCTCCTCACATTGGTTAGCTTTGTGGATGCAACTGGTTTCTGGAGAATTCTTCTTTATTGTAACGTTCCCTTGCAATCAGCAGAGGCTCTATTTTGCAGCGCTAATATTCAAATTTAAAGTAATGTGTACATTAACCATGAAGAGGCTGCCAGGAAAGCTTTCCCCCCACGTCCAGCAGCCTGAGGCTGTAGGCTAAGTGGAAGGAAGGAGGCCGGGGACTGGAGAGCGTCAGCAGCACGGTCCAGGATGAGACAACGAACATCTGCGAGTACATCAGGAAGATGGCCAAACATGACGGCATGCTTAGGGAGTACCTCAGGCAGCAGAGACCCGAGGAAGAGGAGGAACCATCATGGAACGGCAGATAGAGGAGGTGGCTGCCATCCAGAATCCTACCAGAGGCTGGACAAAGCTGGACTGAAAGACAGCACAGAGCACTAATCATGGCAGCACAGGAACAAGCTCTGAGTACAAGATCCATAGAGGCTGGGGTCTATCACACCAGGCAAGACCCCAGGTGTGTAAAGATGCCCCTGAGACAGTGCAGCATGGTGCTGGGTGTCATCACTGATTTGTGGAATCGATTCGATTTGAATCAGGAAATTTTGCCTCAGACAGCCAGAAATATTGTAATCCTGATCACAGCACACATCCATATTTTTATATATCAAAACAAAGCTGACGCTTGTGAGACTTCATCACAGGTGTGAGCATCACAGCAGATCAAAGTAACTGAGGATAAAACAGAAAAACATGAAGCAGATTTTTCTGGCCTGACTTTGTAAAGCAGACAACCTTAAAAATATTCTGCAGTAGAACGAAAACGAAAGAAAACCATGAATCAACATGTGAACATGACCTGATGCTGCTGAAGTGAAGCAGAGTTACAGGGTTGATTACAGACTAGAGATGGGCTGATCCGATATTACGTATCTGTATCGGTCCGATACTGACCTAAATTACTGGATCGGATATCGGAGAAAAATAAAAAATGTAATCCGATCCATTAAATATCACGAAAGCACCTCACAAAACTTGCAACACGCGGTAACTCACCTCAGAACGTTAGCACGTCGGAGCAGTATGCATCATGTGATAGAGCGGCTGTGGCATGCGGGACCTGTCGGTGGTCTGGATAGCATTTGGAGCTTCGCTAGCAACCCGGCATTTCATCTCCGACAAAATTATCCCGAGAGAAGTAAAGCAAGTGTGTAAGTCCATCTCTGAATGTTTGCAAAGCATTCCTGCATTAAGCTTAACAAACGATATATGGAGCGACTGCCTCTCCTGCTGCTACTTCAATCATGAAACTGCTTAACGATCAGCTGATCGGCTTTTCTGTCTCGAGTCCGTCTCTCTGGTTTGTTTTTGGCCCACTTTGCACCAGAAAGAGGAAACCATCGGCTGAACAACAGCAGCACGTTTAAGCTTGATCAGCTGTTGTTAGAATGTATTTATTATTACTTTCTACTCGAGGATCTTTTTCTACGTAGCTGACGCTGGTAACTGTGCAGGGGCGGATCTAGCAAAGTTTAGCCAGGGGGGCCGATAGGGCATGAACAGGGAAAAGGGGGCACAAAGACATACTTTTCTTTCTTATTCTCATTTAAAATGTCGAGCTTTTAATAAAAAATTATCTGACACCCAAAGTTTTAATCTGATGCAAAATGAATAGAAGTCAATTACTGTATATAGTAACTATTAAGTCTAATATATATACCCTAGTAAGCTATAGTACTTTTTCCTTTGGGAAGGTACCATCTGTGCAGTCTGCAATTTTGTTGAAGAAAGATGTTGAATCTATTTAATATTTCTTGAAAAATAATTGATTTCTGTGTATTTTGTTTCACACTACATCAAATTAAGGTTGATTACGTCGATTAAGCATCATGAGGTGGAGCGTGAGGGGTGGTTCCCTATTTTTTATTTATTTATTTTTGTTGTTGCTGGGAGTTGGAACCCTGTTAGTTAGGTTGCTTAATATTTACGCTAAGTACTCTTTAAAATACCAGAATAGGGAGGATGGTGTAGGTTTAAGTTTATTAGATTGATCAGTGTTGCTGAACTATGAAATATTTTTTTTGCATACAGGTATAACAGAATAGCTTTAGTGTAGTTGTTGTTTTAAACTTGAGTATGAACTTATACAAAATGCAGCAAGATATTTAAAAAAACAGTTTTGTTGATTAAAAAACACTATATCGGATTCATATCGGTATCGGCAGATATTCAAATTTATGATATCGGTATCGGACATAAAAAAGTGGTATCGTGCCATCTCTATTACAGACACGGCGTTTTGCAGTTTTGCATAATTTTAAGAAGTTTTAATTTGATTAGTGTTGAACGGCAGAAATGAGGCTCTGTTGTCGGAAGTAAAACAAAGCAGCGGCTGACAGCGCTGGTGCTCAGACTGGTGCGTAACGAGCAAGTGAATAATGCAGAGAGAGAGGTGCAGGAAGTGGTGTGGTGGAAGCAAAACAGCAAAAGTCAGAGTGAATCCATGACGATGTTTATGTGAAGCTTAGTTTGGATCTTCTTTGGCTGCTGGTTCAGTCAATATTGTTTGGAGAGAGATCAAACCTGCAGCTTCAGAATCAGCACAAAAACAGACGTGAACACAAAGCTCGACCCGCCGACACATCAGGATCAGCGAGCTGTCGGCTTTCAGCCCGGACCGTGTCCGTGCCGTCGGCGAGAAAGTCACATCTCACTGATCCTGATCCGTCAGCGGATCGAGCTTTGTGTTCACGTCTCTGTGCAGAGTCCGTGTTCCTGCTCTGATTCACTGTTTCAGCTGTTTGGTGGTTGTTGAAATTTTGTGAGGTTTAACCTGAGATTCTGGCGTTTCGGCCAAAATAAATTTATATTTAAAAATCGATTCAGGATTTTGATGAATCGATATCACGTTATCCAAGCCAGAATCTATTTTAATCGATAAATCGATCATCAAAACCCTGCCCTACTCCAGCACATAACAGCAGGGTGCAAGATGCCAGCAGGCAGGGCGTGCAGGGAGCATCATATCCAAGTGGCCGGCATAGTGTACAGGAACATCTGTGCCGAATGCAGCCTGGACGTCCCGAGGTCAAAATGAGAGACGCCCCCAAGGGTGGTGGAGAATGACCGAGCTAAGATCCTGTGGGACTGTGTGCAGAGACTCCCAAACTAGGCGAGTGGCTCCAGCAGATCCCGGGAACAACATCGGAGATCTGTGTCCAGAAGAGCGCAGTCCTGGGAACAGCTGAGATACTGTGCAGGACCCTCAAGCTCCCGGGGCGAGCCGGGAATTTTATTTTTCATTCAAAAGCCAAATTATGTCAAAATGCCAATGAACAAAAAAAAGGATATTTACCGTAATTGTCGGGCTATAAGCCGCTACTTTTTGCACAAGCTTTGAACCCTGCGGCTTTTAGTCAGGTGCGGCTTTTCTATGGATTTTCCATGATTTTTGTCATATCGTAAGACGATTTGTTTTGTTTGTTCCGCTGTTGTACGGCACTACGTTGCCTGGCGGAAGGATCGGGGTTCAAGAGTGGTATGTTGGTCACATGTCCATCCGCCAGGCAACATAGTGCCGTACAAGTAGCGCGAAAAACAAACTTCACAGTAGCGCTACGCGTTCAGCGGGAGGCGTGGATGACGAGCGGTGATAAACTTGCGAAAAGCAAGTTATGCTCAACTCCACCGGTGGAATCTGACAGCGTGCGAAAACATCCACGATCACCAACGGATTTCTAAGGGCTGGACTGCTGCATGATGGAGAGGAGGACACCGCCACGGCCCTTCTGAGGGTGTTCGACTCTGACACTGACAACGAGGATTTCTTTGGTTTTGAAAGTGACAACGAAGGAGAGAATTGGAGAGTGGATGACGAAGCCATCCTGAGCCTGTTCGTATCCGACACTGGAGAAGAGGACTTTGGTGGTTTTAGTGGCAGGAAGATGGTGGTGAATGACTGACTTTTCTTCTTGTTAAAGCCGTGTCACTGCACCTGAGCCTAAAAGGTAGTCCGAATCTATTTTTCTGGTGTGCTGTAGGCTACTGTTATGTACTACATTTGTTACTCATTTATGAAGCACAGGACATGTGCAAATATGTACCCATAACTTGTTTTTCAAAATATTAATAAAAGGGGTGTGTCTCCAAACAGCCATCTCTTTCCTGACAATTCCCTTTGTGCATATTCTCTTACATGTGATAAGTCAACATTGAAACACCTGCGGCTTTTGGTCAGGTGCGGCTAATGTATGTACAAAACAGGATTTCCCCTGATTTTAGCTTGTGCGGCTAATATTCAGGTGCGCTTTGTAGTCCGGGAAATACGGTAATGAGAAGATTGTCATTCTACTAATCTACAGAAAATCATATACATATGTAGTATGTGTATATTGGCTTCAAACAACCAGTACATGTGTGTGTAACCGTGTAGGTCCTCAGTCATCCAGGTCATGTCGTCTAAGGAGCTTGGAAAGAAAGCAGCTGGACTCCTTTAAGTTGCTTGAAGACGTCTTTAGAACTGAAGAAGCTTGTCTTTGGAGTGCAGCATAGTCGTGTGTGAAGCTTGATCTTCACACAGGGTAAATGGATGTTGGACGCACTGCAGTCAGGCCTTTGCTGTTTTGAGGTGGATGACTTGCATTCTCAATCTGACCTAAATTCCTCAGCTGTGACAGCATCAGTTTCAGAGAAACTGCAGCTCCCACAGGCCCCACATCCAACCGTTTTATGGCTGCAACTTTTCACTGGGAACACAAGCAGGGTGTGACAAACTGTGTTATTATGTGCCTCGCTGCTCCGTGTGCAATGTCTTTAGAGGCAGCTGCCATTATGTAATTTGTGGGTAATGACTTGTCCAGGCCAAAAGAAGAATTGAGAGCTGGGAAAGCATTCAGTGGATGGATGGTAGAGGGCGCGTACACACACAGACACACACACAATCATCAGCTGTGGACAAAGACTGCACTGTCTGCACCAGAATGGTGACCCCTCACATGTTCGTTCATAGGTTTAAGTGACTCGGGTGAGCGCGAGCCTTTTAGCTCCTGCCTCTGTTACCTGTTCCTTGCATCATGATCCTGAATTGTGATTGTGTGTCAGTGTGTGTCTGTAGCTTCAGATGAGCAGGCTGGGCTGACGTTTCTGTCTTTCCACAGGTATCCACCTTTCTTTGATGACAATCCATTTGGAATCTATCAGAAGATTCTGGCTGCAAAACTGGAATTCCCACGTCATCTGGATTTCTATGTCAAGTAAGATGTGGGCATCATGCAGGGGATCAGACACACAACCCAGCAATCGGTCTGCCAATGTTGGTCTTTATCGTTAACCACAGGAGTGGCTGTGAATGTTATTTAGGTAGAACAGGCCATCTAGTTGGAAGGTTGGCTGTTTCATTCCTTGTCTTTATGTCGAGGTGTCCTGTGATGCTTCTGTCAGAGTGAAAGCAGAAAGAAACACTGCATGAATGTGTTTACAGTGGAAAACATCTGTACAGTGAGACTTTGCTAAGAACACAGACATTGTGGAAACGATTGTAATTTATGAAACACTAGAAACTGGAGTAGGTTGTGATTGCTGACAGTAAACCCATCAAACGCTGTGACTCCTGGAGCAGAAGTGTTCATCGCTCAGGAGGGCTCGTTTCATTTAAACTTTAGAAATGTCTTTAAACTTTATTGTAACATAGAAACATGTTGACTCGTTGTGTGTACCTTAGGAATTGTCGTGCACAGTCGTGCTCCAGTGAACGCATCGGGAGCAACCCCGGGTTAGCATCCTTCCCTTTGGCATGCAGACTGGAGCTGCCACAGGTCGACTCACACCCGCTCTGATTAGAAGGCCACCTCCTCCACCTCCTGACCCACAACCACCCCAATATGTACTTCAGTACTTATTGGATATGCAGATATATGCATGATGGTGGTACAGCTGCTCAAAAAAGGCCTGCAGGTGGACCTGTTTGCAGGATGTGGCCAGTCGTATCCCAACTGAGGCTGACTGACACACTAACATGACTCAGTGTAAAACTTCAAACGGCTGTTGGGGCCGTTTCCTGAGGGTCCCTGTGGTTAAAGAGGCACTTTGGGTGGATCTGCAGTCACTGATGACACACCTGGCCTTTTTAGACTGGTTCCCCACCCAGTGCACAACACCCATCACAACAGCCTGAGGAGCAGGAATGATTACAGGCACTCTGGGTGGGAGTGTGTGTCACTAAGTTCTAATGCAGTGACTGTGGAGAGGTCACAGCTTCCACTGATAATTCAGCAAAGTCACAGCTTCCCACTCTTAAGCCATCTATCTAGCAGCCAACAGAGGAAGGGATTTTTAATATTCCCACAATTATGAATATCTTTCTTACACAGTCCACACCACAGTGTCCCATCCATCAAACTGTGACAGGCCGCACAGAGGGACACCCGCCGTCTCTCCAGCAGCTGCTGTTGAATGTAGACAAGCAGACAGACTGGAGAAATGTCCCAGCACAAGAGGAAACGAGTATTATGAGCTGCTACCTTAGGACTTGTTAAATGGACTGATTCTTATAGAGCGCTTCTCTACTCTCCCGGAGTGCTCAAAGCGCTCTATGCAACACGCCACATTCACCCAGTCACACCACCGCTATACTGAGTGCTTTCTAACCACACTCACACACACTCACACTCCGATGGATGCATCGGAGAGCAGCTTGGGGTTGGTATCTTGTCCAAGGATACTTGGCATGCAGACTGGAGGAGCCTGGGATCGACCCTCCAACCTTCTGATCAGTAGGTGACCTGCTCCGCCTCCTGAGCTACAGCCACCTGTGAGAGAAAACCTGTGGATGTTTATATCACATGTTCTGATTTATAGTCTGATGAAGGTGTTGCTGAAAAATGTTCTCAGTTGCTTCAGTTGGAGATTGTCAGATGGACACACCTCACTTTGTCACCTGTAATAGGCCGTCAGTCACCCTTTAATGAGGAGATATTTGTCATTGTGACAGCGCTGGAAAGACATGAGTGGTTGTGTCCCACAGAGACAGTGCTGTACAACTATACTGTGAAGCTGTGGATTCACTGACTTTTCCTTTGTCTCCTCAGAGACCTCATAAAGAAGTTTCTTGTGATTGACCGAGCCAGACGGCTAGGCAACATGAAGGTGAGTTAGTTTGATTTCCTGCCTCCTGTAACCACGTGGTACCGTATGTCTTACTCTGAGTAGGCAGTTGATGACTAGCACAAGCCCGTGGTCCGGCTGGAGCACCGTAATCCTGAAGAAATAGACTTATGCAGAAGGGTTTTTGGAGTTATTGTGGTTTTTCAGTACATGTGTAATACGTCTGAATTATAATGTAAATATTCTCCAGTGAGAGCAGCCGCTTCACTCTTCTGAAGAACGTCAAGTTGGAGACATTTATTTCAGACAGAAGTATGGAGAGTTCTGAGGACAAAGACAGAGTTTCAAACATACGTAGGTTTGATGTGTAGGTATGAAACGCTCCATAGACCAACAATCATTTGAAATTCTTTTTTTTCTTATACTACACGAGTGTTAATAGAGGGCGGCTCTTTTTTATGCTCACAGATTTTAAAACAGATGGATGCAATTTACAGTTATGGTTTTAAAAGCCATTCTGCTTAATGAGCGCCAGCTCGTTTCAGAGAAATGTCCAGTTTGTTACAGTCAGTTACCCAGGATTGTATTACTGTGCATTTGAGCTGCTGCATTGATGACTTATTTGAAATTGGTCACTCTCCGTTGGGTGACCAGACTTCCCGCTCTCTCTTGGATGTTTTTTCTGTTCCTTTGTTTGGGATTTTTCCAGCTCACAACAACGTCCAGGAAGTTCTGGAGTAATCTACTCCAGTTTTAGCCGTGTGTTCGTTTAGTTGATCTTCTTTCTGATTTGATGTCCTTCCCGTTCCTCACAGCTGTTTCATTATTGATGGTTCTGGTGGATCCCACTCTGAGACTGGCATGTTTTAATAAATCTCACCATGTGGCAGAAGTGTGTCTGCGTCTTATGACAACAGGAGGTCATGTGACGCATTCATTAGACCTGTTCAACTGCTTGTTAACAGAAATGTCTAATCAGTCAATCAGCTGACTGCAGCCCATGTAGGGGTTGTTTAGATGACCTACTGAAGTTGAAAGAAACATTTAAGAAGCGAAGTGACTTAGTGACTTTGGATGTGGCAGGGTTGTCAGAGCCAGATGGACTTACACCCAGGAAAGTGGTTGGTGCTGCTTTCAAGCTGCATCTAGTAGTTCAAACAAGTGGATTTTCCTTCTGACTTCATTTAGTTGGTTTGATTCTTGGACGTTGCGTGCAAGAGATGTAAACCCTCATGATCAACAGCGTGCTAGTTGTAAGGACGATGTAAAAGCTTGGATACGAGCTCGAGTTCCTCAAACCTGGTCGTCTGCTGTGCTCCTGAACTGTTAGCCTGTAAATTAGTGACCTTTGGGTTTCTCATTAACTTCTAAAAGCTTAAGAACTCATGAGTTCAAGTCGGGGTGTTGAGGCATTCATATGTCCGTAACAAATTTGAATACCAACAATAGTTTTTAATAACCTGACCACGACCAATTAAGCCTTCGCAGCAGCCACGATGAAGAACATGAACACAGCAGAAGAATATGTTCCTCCTCTTTTCTAATGAGTCCTTGATAGAATTACAGGCTGTATTGTGTCCAAGTTTAGTAGCAGGGTTCGTACGGGTGCTTGAAATCCTTGAAAATGCTTGAATTTTAGTGTTGTCTTTTCAAGGTTTGAAAAGTGCTTGAATTTCAGATGTGGTGCTTAAAAGTGCTTGAAAGTGTATATACAAACTATATAGTTGTATGTATAGTTTTCAGGGTTTTTATCGGTTTCCAGCGTTATTTTGTTATCGTTTTTATCGTTAACTCTGTTTTCCTGGGTCTTTTCACGTGTGTTATGAAGAAAGCTTCCTTTTTTTCGGTACCGGTACTACTTTTATTTTGTTGTATTTATCCGCGACACCTTAAAGGCCGGTCCATGAAAATATTGTTGGGCATAAACCGGTCCGTGGCGCAAAAAAGGTTGGAGACCGCTGCGCTAACATACCTGTTGGTCGCTGTTTTAATGAGTGTTTGATGGAAAACGACAGTCGCATGATAGGTGAGTCCTAGTAAATCATTTTCCAGTACGTGTACGTTACACATGCTATTTTTTAAAATTATGATTATTATTTTGCTAACTGTCAAACTCGCTGGGGAAATGATTGAAATGCACTGAGTGTGACGCAGTATGGCAGCGCAGTGCAGATCTCCATTCAAACTGAAGTGTGTCAGTGAACATCAGTGAAGTCAGTGTGACACTGTGAGCTGCTCTCAGTGAAACAGCTGCCTCTCTGAGCTCTGTGATTAACGCCACATAATTCCACACATGATGATATTGACTGTGGCTGCCAGTATTCCTCAGCCTCATCGCTCATTAACAGAACGCAGATTTTGATGTTGGGAGGTTGAACAGTGCACTAGAATAATGACACACTGAGAGTTTTTCTTTCAAAGAAACTGATGAACTACTTTTGTCCAAAAAATGATACGTTTGTCAAGTAAACATTAAAGTCCCCAATAATCCTGGTCAATGATGGATAAACTTTTTTCTTATATTTTTGCTACTGATTTGACAATTTTGTTCTTGAACAATGTTTTCAAATTAAAAGCCTCACAATGTGTTTTTACATCCATCTTAAGTTGACAAATTGAGCTGTGCGATATTAAAAACCAGCCTTAAGCTCAGGGACAAATCAAATGCTGATTACCTGCTCCTGCTCTTTGTTGAGTCGAGACATCAGCCGACACTGCCGACCAGCTGTAGCCTCGTCTGGGTCAGTGCACTCGCACGGCTTCACCTCACTCACGCAGACACATGCGCTGAGGAAGTCAAGTAGATCAAATTTCAGTTGAGTGCAGTCTGCACAGAGCAGCAGCAGGAGCTCTGATTGGTCAAATGTGGCATATTAGTGGGAGATGAGTATTGTTCCTGGCCTATCAGAGTTCCTGCTGGTGCACTTTTGGAGTTTATTTCAATTTTCTGATCCAAAAAACCCCATGGGTGATGGTGTGTTTTTCTGAAAAAAAGAGAAATAAATGAGGTTCTGCTGGAGGCTTGTTTCTGTAATCATGACCTCGGTGTAGACTTGGCTGTAGCTCAGGTAGAGCCAGTCACCTGCTAATCGGACATTTGGTGGGTCGACCCCAGTTTGTTCCAGTCTACGTGCCGAATATTATCTCCGAGCAAGATGGTAACCCCGAGTTGCTGCGATGCCTCCAGTGGAGTGTGAATGTTGGACTGAAGGAGCGTGGAAAAAAGTGATTGTGTGAATGGATGAATAAGGCAAGTTGTATAAAGCGCTTTGACTGCTCACAGTAGAAAAGTGCCGCTGATTTACCGTTTCCCTTTGACAATGTGTAGTCCTATGTTTTCATTTCAAAACTTTAATAATGCCCGACTTTATCTGAATATTGAATGTGTGGATTAATAATAACGTCATCCTTTTGTGATTGTAGTGCACTTCAAAACTCTATAAAGATTTAAAAGTCAGGAGCCATGAATGTGAGACGTTTCCCCAGGAAATTCCATCATTTGTAATAAAGTAACTGTAACATTTTACTTTGTTACAACTGCTGGAATTTCCTGGGTGCAACAAAATGTTACAGTTACTGTAGAATAGATTAGAATGCCTTTGTTGTCACTATACAGTTGTACAATGAGATACAGAGCATCTCCTGTATCGGGGCGAGGTTGCTTTAGCATTTTTCTGTCATCATTATTTAAACATTGCACTTTGCATTTACTCTGGTTTTCTTTGAACAATATTTCAGGCGACTGAACATTAAAGAGTGACAAATATACAAAAAACTGTGAAGTGAGGAAAGGGGGCAAATACATATTCCCAACACTGTGTGTACATACACATCGTGCTGTCTGTTTCAGAATGGAGCCGACGACGTGAAAAAGCACCGATGGTTTAAAACTATTGACTGGGAGGCCGTTCCTCTGAGGAAACTAAAGGTGGGTTTGATTCGGTGTATTTTTCACCTGTTCAGCTACATTCACATCAGGATGGTAAAAAATCTGCTTACATTTTGGACATTAGAATCATTTTCACAATTTTGCTTTTGTGCACGAGTACACCGATGGTTTCGAATGATGCAATGATGCTGTGATTGAATTGTAGACTTTCATTTAAGGACTTTCACATTGCAGACATTCCTGTTTTCTTCAGTTTCTACAGGTGCATAGAGTAATTGGACGTTTTTGCTCTATTTCTTAATTATTCAATGGCGAATGCTTTGATGATGATGATGTCTTTGCATTTGCAAACTGTTTGCAATCCAAAGAGATCTCGGTGGAAAAACCAAAGCTACGGGACACATGGTGAAAACTGCTCGATCGACTGTCGGGTTCGGTGTTTACAGACGAAATGCTGTGGTGAGCTCAGTAACTACAGAATTCAGGGAAAACCCACGCAAAGAGAAAAAATCTTGGCTCAGTTGGCTGAGTGGAGAAGAATGTGGCAATATTCAATCGAGAGGTGGCTTCAGGAATGTAAATACAGAGGATTTCAGTCACGAGGAAACGATAGGAAACAATCCAGCTCTACAGCCTCTGTGTGGCTTCAAGGGACGACACGTCGGAATGAAATGAATAACCCTTTGAACTGAATTTAAGTCTGTGTGTTATCGCGATCTATTTTTGTAGTGCAGAATAGAGAACTGTGTCCCTGTCCGGATGTTTATGGATCAAACTTTGGATGAATTAAGAACACTGCCTGTATGTGAATACTCACTAGCATTGCCCTGCAGGTCCACACCTCCATTTAACACGTTCCTCCTCCTTGTTTCCAGCCTCCTATAGTTCCTAAGGTTTCCCATGAGGGCGACACCTCCAACTTTGATGTTTACCCAGAGGACGACTGGAAAAAAGACCCCCCCGTGGCCGAGAAAGACTTGGAGGTCTTCAAAAACTTCTGATCCCTCAGCCGTGTCTATTTATTAATCAATTGATTTATGTGGATAACTAACAACACACATTGTAAAACTACTATTGCAGGTACTCTGTTGGAGAAAACACTTATTTATCAAATTGGGGGATTTGCATCTTATCTGTAATAATGAACTTCCAAAGGACAGATGCTGTGACGTGTATGTATGAAACTAAAGACATGGTTAGCTTTTTATACTTTTATTTATCTGCTACTTTGAGTTTATTTTATTTTTTGTTTTTATTCTCTGAGCCATTCATATGCAAAAATATCTGGTTCATCTGAAACCAAAAGACTGTTACTTTCTGGGTATAAAACAGAAAAAAAATCAGGTCCTTTTATATAGTCGTGTTTTATAGTTTCTCTCTTTTTAAAATGTTCATGTAGTCATGTTCAATGTGACTGCAGACTGGTACTGTAACAGTCTTCTGATCAGCAGTCATTAATGACTTATTCTATATGTAGTCAGACACTTGGACAGGAAACCAGTAGCACTTGTAAAGAAAGTGCCTTACATCACTGTTTGATGTCTCGCAGCTACACATTTGAATTCTGTGCTGTCAATGGAGTTCAAAGTATAGTGGACGTGGAACGTGAGGTGCTGTTGGAGACAACATACCACTGAACTGTTGTCACATCTAATAATGTAAAGCTGTGTAACATCTCTGCGTTAGGTCTCCACAGCCCAAGGTTTTTGCCATGACTGTAGAGCCACAGCTGCTCTGCAGGCGCTTTGCTGCACCTCACTCATTTTCATTCTTGTTGTCGTATTTTGTTTAAAGCCAAGGATGTTATGTAAGAGCCTCATTTAGTGCATCACAGTACAGAGTGAATGTGCAGTTGTTAGGGATACGAATCTAAATTCTCTAGAAGAACCAGTTCCCAGTTATAGTTAGTCTGCCTGCCCATCAACCCTGCTTATCCCCTTGCATTTGCACTACAGTCAGCCGATTTCAGTTCATGCGCCGATGAGGTGGCACAGTTATCTTTATTGCACAAAACCGTGAGAGTGCAGTGGTACAAAGGAAAGTGTGTCAGGACAGAAACAGCTGTTAATGATGTCGCTAACACAACAGCTCTTTGGAGGCGCTTACACAGACAGCACAGCGTGCTAACGCTAAGCTAGCCAAGAACCCAGAGTTAAATGAAAGCATCGTGAATCTGACGCCAGCCCAGCGGTCAGAGCCTGAACATTGACCGGCATCGAAGCCAGCGATGAAGCCTTCATCTCTACCTGTTCATGTTTCTAAAGTAGAGGCACCGTGGCGATCGCTTAAAGTCTGTGCTGGTTTTCATCTTTGCTTCGTGTTCATACCTAAATACTAAGACAAGGATCACATGCGTGTCCTCGTCAGGACAGGGATTTGTGTCGGTGTGTGCTGGGACTGTAGCCTCATGTTATTAAATGCTTATAAGATGATAGTTTCAGGTCACAAAGGACTTTCTCCTGGGAACAGTAAACTAAAGCACTTCATTGCTTTTAAGAACGGTGTTCTGACTAATATATTTTTGAGTAATGACCCCAGCACTGATCGCACAGCATGCAATTACTCTGAACGACTATAATGTTGTTGATGTGCTGCTTAGTGAAGGTGATGACTCTAAAAGCGGAGCCAGTGAAAATCAATCGGTGATATTGATCTTATCAGTTCCCATTCTTAGCATTCGTACAGTCAGTATTCATTAGCATTTCTGTGAACTGTTGCTTGCTGAATATCACAACCATATCAACCTTCCAAAATAAACCTTGTTTATCACGGGTTTTGTGCCTCATGCTTCATTATGAGTTGGATCCATCTCATTCTAACTAAAATCAGCACAGCTTTCTTCCCTGCCTCCAGTGCACATCCATAAAAGGATGGGTGGATGGGGTTGGTGAAGAAGCTGAACCCTACCGAACACCTCCAGGATGAACTAGAAGGGATGTTGAACTCTTGTCAAACATCACTGGCTGACTTCAGAAGTGCTGACTCCACTTTGAAAGTTGACCTTTTAGGCTGTTGTGAAAAAAACGTTGAAAGTAGCAGGAGCAACCTGATGGAAGCCATGATGTTTGTTCAGATGGATACGATGATAGAAGGGTTGTATTTTATTATCCACCGTCCGCAGGATGACATAAGAGTATTTTCCTTTTTTCATTCGTCCCTCGTGTCTGTATCCTGTTTTGTAAACACTGGAATTATTTTTCCTAATTCGCTGTGCAGATGTTGCTCTGAACACAACCTTACTGGACCTTTGAAACATCCTAGCCTATCAATGCCTTTGACTGGAATTTGTTTTTGATACTTGGCTCCAGCATCAATTCGTCTAAAGCACTCTGGGTGGACTGTGTCTCGCTGCAGAAACAATCACCCAATGTCCTTATTACACAGGTTTTCCTCATCCATTTATTTGGATCTAGCTGCAGCCACACTGTCCATAAACAAGTTTTTTTTTCTGATTGCTGTTTTTGTTTTTACAACTCAAATTGTTCCAGAGCTTGTGGCACACCCTGAAGACATTTTAAAAACACGTTTTAAAGGTGAAAAGTAGCTCCTGTGAAATGAGTTAGCGAGAGTCATTTGTCAGATAAGGCCAAGATACCCCCTCATGTCCACGTAGGTCTGCAAAAGTCCAGACAGCTAGAAGGATACCAGAATAGTGGAGCTGTTGGCGAGCCATGTATCTCATGATGGTAAGCTTTTCTCGTTGCACTTTTGTGTTATACGGACAAACAAAGCTGCTTTTCTGTCGTAACAGCGACGTTATGTGGTTCAGGACCTTACAGAAGTAGACGAAAGTCCGCTCTTCAAGCTCGCAGATGACTTATTCATTGTTTATCAGTCCAATGTCAGTTGCAGTGGACTCCAGACATTGCAACTCTAAATTAGATAAACTGATAAGAAAATGATTGGATCCAAGTGTCTCGAGCACCTGAGACCTGCTGTCAGGCAGAGAGCACCTGTCCCCTGCGTCACCTGTCCCCTGCGTCACCTGTCCCCTGCGTCACCTGTCCCCTGCGTCACCTGTCCCCTGCAGTTATAAAATGACATGTTTGCTTACATTTATTTATTTAAAATAAATGAGAAATTCTCATTCCTGTGAATAAGTCCTCAAGAGAAGTGGAAACATCAGAGATTTAACTTCAGTGAACTGAAATCTAACTTTAGATCCTTCAGACTCAGGTCACTGCATCTGTAAGACTGCACATAGATCTACTGAAGGTTTTCCAGAACATTATCACACATGGATGAATTCTGAGGTGGACCTTTTAAAGGAGACTCTTAGTGATTCAGTGACAGTCTGTTAGCTATGGATGAATGAAAACCCAAACTCCTGAGCCACATAATAAAGAAGCAGCTCTGTTAGGCCGCTGAAGGGAAGGACCACTGCAAACCAACTCAGAGCTCCCATTCAGTGAATGGTTTGATTAAAATGATAAGGATCATGTTCTTTGACGGTCCTAGTCAGCAGATCTTAACATGTCCACTTGTTAAACAACACTAAAAGTAGTGTCCACCCTCCGGGACGATGCCAGAAAATTCAAGAATCGGCGACTGCATGCTGTAACCTGGCACCTTACCTTTACCTTTATGGACACGCCTGTGCTGTAATCACCTGAGCTTAAATGTGTTGTTGACATTTGTGTTATTGTCTTGATACTTATCAGAGTGTATGATTGAATTATGCTGTTTATGGGCATCATTTTACAAAGAGCTTTGTGTCCTGTTAAGTAGTTTTTCTAAATAGAAACATCCGCATGCTTTAAAATACCTGAAGTGTCACACTAATCTGTATTCACAGGTTTTTCTCTTTGCTGTACCCCTGCTGCATTTCAAGCTTTGTTTTCTTACCCGACGAGTGTACATGTTCTGTCCAGTCCTGGGACATTGTGTCTTACACAGCAATATATTGTTTAAAATGTCAACCTTTGTCTTGGAAATATGTTTTCTGGTGCAAATATGCATTGTTTTCTACCCAATACGTAGCAATGCCTTTTCATTTCCATGAATTCTAGTTATACCTTTAGCTCTGAAGCCTGAGTGAAGTTTTAAACTGTCGAAACAAGTGGAGTTTATAAAGAAGCATGTTTTGTCCTGCTTGGTTTATTTTACACTCACCTGTGCGGCGTCCTTCAGCCACCCAGCAGCCTCTGAAGGTTAGTCGCCTGCCTGTGTAGTCAAGCAAACCTTTTGCATTCACAAAATGGAAATCTGACATTTGGGAAGTGAAGCCTTCATTGCTGTTTGACGTTTCTCGGGTCCAGGCCTTCATGAAAATACCGTCAGTCCACTCAGGAGACACCAGCATCCATCTAGAACAAAGCAGACAACACAGTCAGTGTTTTCGTTTCCAAACCACTGCCACACATACTCCAGTTTGATTTAAAATATTAAATGGAATCGTTTGAACTGAAACTTGATTCTTTATGTTTAATAAGTGTTTTCTTGCCATATTTTTCCTTGGTCCTAACCGTTCCTGCAGTAATATTAATAGGTGCCCATATGCCACAGAAATTGGTCATTGAAACATGTCAGTACATGAAAGTAAACATGGACAAACCAGGAGGATCGTTTGAGCCACAGAAGAGAAATGCAGGGGTTACTTCTACAGACGGGTGCTACTGCATCAAAAGTTTAACTGAGCATCATAACATTAGATTTTTCTTAGTAGTTGGAAAAAACAATTATGTTATAAAACATTATGTCTGGTTAAAGTGTGTGTGAACTTTAAGGATGTGGGATTGTTACATGTGTGAATTTTCTGTTGCAACTTATTACCTGGAAGAGTTTTTCTAAGTAAGACTGATGACAACAGAAATGTTGACAGAACTGCCATTTCTTTTGGTGCTGGGAAGAGTCGAACGCTATAGTCCCCTCATCCTTTCTTCGGGCTGTTCACATTTCGGTGATTCAAGACAAAGTAAAGGAAGCGAGGTACTGCAATTTATTATTATCCCATTCTTACAGAATCTCAGCTGGAGACATTCTAGTGCTACGGCTGGTATGTGTGATGTGTGCACGCTTCTTGTCGGGCATATTTGTCATAGCAGGAACACTGTGATAGTGTAAAGGAAGAAAAGCTCCAGTCTTAATAGAAATCCAGTCCAGCTCATTTGTAGTACATTGGTTTGTGTTCTGATATCAACTGTGAAGCCTACCCACCATCAGCGTTCCCTATATGTTAATGTTAAATGTGCACAAACTCATTTCCTCTCAGGACATTTCCAAAAGCAGTTTGGCTGTGTCCTGCACTACTACCTGCTTGTTGTTTTTTATTGAATCATAGCCGTGACGGTAACTTCCTGAGTTGACATTATGGGACGTTTCATCCTTCATCCAAGCATCTTCTTCAGTCTTATAAACAGTACATTTGCATAATGACTGAAACTAACACATCTGACCAACACGCTGTGAGGTCAGGTTCTTGATTATTAATATGCAAATTCTCATGACCATTGATCAACAACCACTGATCAAAGCTCATTGATCAATGTCCATGAGTCCCATGCTCAGAGAGTGTACGATGGTGACAGATGTACCCTTAGGCCCCTCCTCCATCCAGAGATGTTTTTCCCTTTTCACGTAAATGGCTGGACAGACCAGAAAATGTTGCCCACAGTGAATACTGATTGACTTCCTTTGTTAATGTAGGTGTTAGTACAGTATAATGGAAAGCCTTTGCCTTGCATTATCCAGCATACTGTATTTCAAAGTTTTCAGAGTGCATGGATGTGATCCTCAAGTACATCGTTTCTTATTTTAGTACTTACACTGCGGAGTGCGATAGTCCAAAATTCCAGTGTTTTAACATCTGCCTTTAATCAAATAATTTACAGTTCATAGTTTTTTGTTCTGTTTTATTCATTAAAATTTTAAATGAAGTCTCTAAAGATTTGAGCAGCAAGTAAATGAATGATGACTGTTGCAGCAAATCTCCCACAACTTGTTAAGAGAGTTTCTCAACAACTCCAGCTTGAAGAGGTAAGTGTTTTTCTTCTCGTGCATAACTGAGGAATGACTTTATTGCTGAATAAGTGCCATAGGAATGGTTCTGACCGCAGATTTAGTCTGCTCGTGGCAGAGACGGAAAGTCATGAGTCAACGCTGAGTCGTATTGCTATTTATTCCTTAGAGACTGAATATGTGTGCTGCTGACTGGAGCAGCTGCCAGTGTATGCTGCTACCCTCCTACTGCTGCTGTAGGACTGATGCAGGTGGTTGATCCTGAGCGTGTCCATTGAGAATTAAGCTTTGTGACAAAAAGAGTTGGTGGTGGTACTTTGGCTAACCGCTTCATGAGGAAACAATCTGACAATCAGTCAAAATGTTTTTCAGCAAAGGTGTGACCATGTTGTTCTATAACCCTTTAAGCCTAATCCTACTTTAGTTACTTTAGTCTTAATTTCCTCATTCAATCTCTTAAATCCAAATGTAGGAGTGGACTTAATGTGCTGAACGCAGTGTTTCATGAACTGTTATGTTTCCAATAGAAAAGTGAGTCACGTTTTGTCTGGAATTCCAGTTTGCTTGGCTAAGTGATGACACTCCAACCACACCGAAGGAAGCCAATGGCAAACAAATGAACATGCTAAGCTGCAAGTTATTGGCTTGAGTTGCGAGAAATACTAAAACTAACTTAAGTCTCTAACATTTCCTATTTTTCCTAAACTGAAATTAAGGACAAACAAAAGCCTCTAGCTAAAAGAGAAAAAGGCTTCCAGCAAAAGGCTTCTTGCTCCTGTGTCTGAATATTCACACATAAAATTTAAATGATATTTA